TCAATAACTTATTTGATCTAAATTAGATTGCTAGATGGGGGGGAGTATAGGACTTCAATACAATTGGGGAAGTATAGAAACCTTTTCCCAATATTGGAGGTTTACATAAGCATTGTTCCATGACTCTTCTCGGCCAAAGGAGTTGGCCCTCGACCAATGTAAAATAAATAAAAAAAGGTAAAATATTTCTAAAAAACTAGGAAAAATAATTGGAGTTAATAGAAATTTTTAGAACGCTAAAGAAAATGAAAACAATAAAATATGAACTACTGAAACTTTTGATTTATCCCTTGAATATTTCAGAATTTGATTTTTTTTATATTTAATTTTTTTTAATAGATCTGATAGAGAAGAATGCACATCCTATGCTCGTGCTGGAACATATTGTGCACTTAATCCCTAAGGCGAACGAGAGCTACTTCGAGGATTTTCTCAATAAGATACTTTGCATCCACCCAGGAATCACAAGCTGATTATTTACAGAAAATAAACCAAAAAATTGATTTTGAAATCTTCAACATTTAGATCTGAAAATCTAAAAATTTCGACGATCTTTGGTGGGTACTATTTTCGGTGGGTATTATTTTCTTTAGGCACATAAAATGCATGGTTTGATTTTATTTTATTTTAGTTTTTCTTTCCGAGATTAGTAGTTAGGTTGAAGAGGTTATATTTCGAAAATTTAAAGCCCAAAAAGTACCTGTATATTTAGTTTACCGGTGAAAGAACAGATAGCATGCTCTCCCGGAAACATGAAATTTTTGGCTATGACTTTTGGGATATTTGTGAGGCTTGGAGGTGGAACTCTCCAGTCTCTCTCCATTTCTTCCTTCCCTGCTTATTGTGCCCATCTTTAGTGCTTGTTAATTTGATTATTTGCATGCTCTACCATTTCTAATTCAATAACAACATATTAAGAATGCTCCAGTTAGGGGGTGGCATCCCTTTGACCCGAACCATGTCCTGGTCCGGGTCCACGTGTGGGACCCAACTTGCTGGGCCTGGGTATAATTGACTTGGTCTCGACCAGGGGGTCAGGGTCCAGTTAGGGGTTGACCCGATCCCGGTATATACTATATATTACATAAAATAAAATTTTTATTTTGTCCAGGTCCAAATACTTGGGTCCATGTAAAACTTAGTCAGGTGGGGTCCAAGTCACCCAACTGGACCCGTTGCCACCCCTAGCTCTAGTATTTTTTATGATATTATGGCCTAAATCAGAAACTAGTTATTTTCATGCAAATGTTAAATGGCAAAGTAGACACGTGATTAGATTACTACAATACATATTTACATGAAATCCTATCAGTTGGTACAAGTAACACTACATTAAGGAAAAGCGTTCATACAAGCCTTAAAAAATAGAATTAAGGTGCACTTAAAAAAGGAAAAAGTTTATATAGAGCCAAGGCTCTAAACAATCAAATTAGAGCCTGTATCAAAAATTTCAATAAAAGATGTTGTTTTGATTCCCAAATATCCTCAAATTGATCATCTCGTCATCAAGATGCATGGACATGAGAAAAAAATGGATTTCAAGTTTTGAAAATAGTGTATTTTGTAGTGCATTTTTTGACTGTCAAATTTCAACATTTTCAAGGTTTCATAGATTTATCCGATTTACACTATTTTTTAAGCTTTAAACTTTATAAATAAAGATGAAAATATATTTTAAGGCTATCGCTTAGATTTGCAGCATTGAAACCACATTTCTTGACACTATTTGAAGGTTAGCTCAAATTTGATTGTTTAGAGCCTCGGCCCTATACAAACCTCACCCCCTTAAAAAATCATCATAAAAGGCAGTTTTGACGTTGGAAAACCCTCTAATTGATCATCATAATATCGAGATGTCTGAATATGGAAAAATAATAATTTTGAACCACTTTGGAGATTATCTGGACTATTCATTTTCAAGATTTTCATGTGTTTGTAGATCTATTTGATTTGAACCAGTTTTGGAGTTCAAATTTTATAATTAGAGAAAATTGATTATCAAACCATCCTAAGAATTTTTAACACCAATAATGCATTCTAATAATCATTTACATATCTACCACATTGTATCACTTTTAGAGCTTCACCTTGAACTAATCTTTTGGGCATACCTTTGTCCTTTTCAATCTTTCCACTTGAACTAATCTTTTCGAACTTATATATATAACCAAGGGATGAAAACAAATTTTCAAGCCACGCCATTTACTTGCAAGTTCTTGAGGCTAGCATATTTCAACAGGGTTTTGAGATTTTTTATGACGTGGCTTTACCAAGGCTACGCCATTTACTTGCAAGTGCCCCAAAAAGAAAGTGGAAGAGTAATTCACTAACATGGACAGAAATATGATTCAAAACAACTCAATTCTTTTTTAAGAGGAAAACATTCTTAAAAGAAGGATACATAAATAGAAAATAGTTATCAAATAGAACCCTCATGATCATCCTCTTTTAAAGTGAACACCATGGCAATTGAGACCAGGACTGTCGATCTGACCGTTCACACTATCGATTGGTGCTTGGTCAATTTCATCTAGAGTAAAAATTGAGTTTGGTTAAAAACCGCTTAAAACCATTTTTTGAATGATTTTAATCGGTTTAACCAGTTAGTTTTGACGAGTTCGATTGTTCAAACAAAGTACGTAATTTTTTTCATAATACATTACATATTTTAAAGTATAATTTATTTCTTATATATTTTTAAAACTCGGTCAAGCTGATTAGATTGAAAATTTAATCGATATTGACTGGACTAGATCCCTCACTGATTAAATGGCTAATCTGATTTTAATAACACTAGTAAACACTTCTAAAAATCCCCTCTGCTCGATATGAGAAGACGAAGAAGTTTCTTGAGGTCCATTACACTACTAGGAGTCAATCATTTGATTCTGAGCATTTCAAAGTCCCCCATGTGCCAATCTTTAATGCCTATTAGTTTCATGAGTGCGCGTAGCATATTGTACATATTCTCTTCCGAAAAAAGTGAAATTTTGAAATCTACTTTCTAGTAACCAAATGTCTAAAGAAAAAGAAGAATTGGATTTTAAGTTTCTAAGTCTCTAGACAAGTTGGATGGTCTCCATTCAATTTTTGGGCATTATTTATTCAGGTACCGACAGTGTGCTTACAAAAATTTTCTCTTTGAGCTTGGTTGCTAGGACTAGGACCTTACATCCAAAATTTTAAGTCCTAAAAGTACTCGTATAAAAGTTTTTAGCTAAGGAATAAATGGACAATATGATCCAGCAAGAGCATAAATTCTCTCCCGTGCTAAAGACCAGCAACATGAAATAGTACGGAAATATGTTCAGTATTAGGAATTTTTGTGAAACGTAAAAAATTATTTTTATATTTAATTATAAAATTTAAAGCTAAAAAAAGAGTGTAGATCATACATATCCATAAACACAGATAAATCTTGAAAACTAATGGTTGAGAAAACACATTACAAAATACACTATTTTCAAGACTTAAAATCCTTTTTTCTTTTCTTTTTTTCATGTCCATCGAGCTTCAGGTGGAGATGATCGATCTGAGGATTTTTGAGCATCCAACCAACCACTTCTAGTGAGCTTTTGAGGTTCACCTTATTGTTTAGAGCTTCACCCTTATATTAACTTTTTTCCATAATATGATTGAATGAATAGAAAAGCGTTACTTTTTGTCCAAAATATATATCGAGAGAGAGAGAGGATAGGGTGGTTCACATAGGGAATTAATTCTCTCTCACACACACATGGTTTGGATTTTCAGTGGACTCTTGAATGTGGAGTAGGGTTAGGGTCAAGTAAGATTCCTCACCACTTTATTCCCACACTTTGTCAACCAATTATCCTTCTTTATCTTCTTTATTTATTCATCACTCTACATTTTAGAAAGAGAGAGAGAGAGAGGGGTACCTCAGTGATGCTCCCCTTACATGCACAAGTAGAGAGAGAAGCTATGAAAGATATGGAATGCTAGATTTCAACACAATCAAAGAGAGAGAGGGAGAGTAGCTATGAGAGATAAATAATAGTAGATGTCATCACAGAATCATTTATTCTTGATAACTTTGCTTTAGTGGTTGGCAGCAAGCAATAACTGGAAAGTTGGGGTGAGATGGTGCCTATATAAACCCCTGTTATCAATGAAATAAGACATAACTAGAAGATGAAGTGTGATCAAAACTGCGGTGTTATCTCTTCATCTCCCTCAAAGGCCTCCCCATTTTTGAAGGAATTTATCAGGGCCTAAAATCCTTTGAAATTGGGGGGCCCGACGGGGAGGTACAGAGATTGCACTTCACAAAAGCTAAAAGAAATTGGTGGGTTTTGTTTCTTTGGTTACAGGTAACATTCTCTTTCCTTGTTCATGAGTTTGATGCATTAGAGTCCTTTTCTTTGACGTTTATTTTCGGCTGAGGTCAACCCATCTTAGAATAAAGGGATTGCAGATATGTTGCCTCTCACATTTTCAATCTTTAGATATGTAGAATGCAGAAACAGTGCCTCTACCATACTTTTATTCTTTAGAATGAGAGGTTATGGAAATAGGATCTCCTCTCTCTCTCACACACACCCACCCACATTTGTGCATTTAAGGAAGCATCACTCATCACGAGCTATTCTCTCTCTTAATTGGGTATGATCTCTCTCTCTCTATCTCGATGTTTGCAACTCGGAACCGGTGGTAAAACTGGAACCGAAAACTGACTGATCTGGTTTTTGCTCGTTTTGGTGGTCTGGCTAGGTTTTTTAAAAAAATATAAACTCCCAAAAATTAAGAAATTAGTTTGTAATGAGTTTTTTAAATTTTTTATCATATCAGCAAAGATTGAAAAGTGTTTTGGCTATGAATATTCTTATTAACATTTTCCACTGTTTTTTTAAAAATACTCCTGGGGCAAATTGATTTTTCTAACTCCATTTTTTTCAATTTCATTTGGATGGGCTTCTTTTCATATTTGTTACATTTTTCTGTTTTTTAATACTTTTCAGACTGGTTGGGACCTGCCCGATTAGACCGACTGAACAGGCTGATTTACTAGTTACAAGGACCCGGCCCTTAGCCGGTTTCCGAGGCTGATTCGATTTTTCGGAACACTGCTCTCTCTCTCTCATGCACATGCCCACACACCCAAACCCACATGCACATAATATAATTCATACGTATATTCCCAACAAAACAATGATTGAAGTAAGGAAACCATCCAATTATCAAACAAAAGAGCAAAAGAAAAGCAACTAATCAACAAAACCCTAGAAATCCCATATGGGTCTTTCCATGGAAGCTTGATCTTGACCTACATGATGAAAACCAGGCATTTTGTCAAAACTTCTTTGTTGGTTTTGTGTTTCCCACTCCAGCATCTCCTGTTGGCCATGTGAAGAGTACCCCATACCATCTCCATGGACCCCCACACCTAAGAAATCCACAGTCATTCTCTCTCCTGCTCTCTTAGCAGCCTCTTCTCTCTGTAACCCCCTCATCATACCCTCCCCTTCCAAAAATTCACCAGGTGGTTTAATGCTCTTCTCTCCATGAATCATCAAAGGAGAATCAGGTAAGCTGATCTTCTCTAGCTCCTTTGGAAACCCATTTTGGCTCCCCATATACAAACCACTTGTCGAATCGGGGAAGCCTCTGAGAAAGATGGGCGGAGCAATTGCGTTACTGCTAACCTTGGCTCCCATTTGTGCGGCTTTTTGCAATAGAGCAGTTGCAGACATGAATGCATTTGAATCATTGGAAACTCGAGTATTATTTAACCCACTTGAAGCGAACAGACCCACGGACGATAAGAAACCCTGGCCGGAAATTATGTCGGAAAATGAAGAATCCGGAATGTTGGGTACCTGTGTGAGAGTGTGGGGCATGTTATTATTCAAGGGATTAGTTATGTCCTGATTGATGAGTGATAAATCCATGGGGCTGTTGAACTCTGGTGCTTGGCCTTGTAGTTGAGATGAACCCTGGTGCAACTTGTTGTTCTCTTCTGCCAAGGCATCACAGAATGCTCTGTGAGTTATGAAGCTGTCTCTCCTGTAAGCGCGAGAACGTCAAATAAGTTCAAAGGCTCTGGGGAAGAAGGGTAAAATGGTCAAATTTATGGATTTTGGGAAGTTTGCTCGTAGCTGTCTATTTAATTTTAGATTTTGCATGGGGTCAATATTGGAGGTTTACCTATCTCTCTACTTGTTTTCTTGCGGCCAAGGTATTTGGGCCTTGGCCTATGTAAAATAAATTAGAAAAAGTGAAATATTTCTAAAAAACAATAAAAACTAAGAAAAATATTTGGAATTAATAGAAATTTTTAAGAGGCTAAAGAAGTTAGAAAACAAAAGTCTCAACTACTACCGAAAGTTTTGATTTAGAAAAAGTACAAAATGAGACCATTTAGTTATGGTGGAAGGTGGTCACAATTGATCTTTACCATTGGATGTGAAATTGGGTGGCTGCATTTATTCCTTTGACCAAGTTCAAACTTCAAAAAAAAATTTCTCGAATTTTATTACACACCCAACCTATCAAATTTCACATCGAATGGTTGTAAATAATTGTGACACCTTACAACAAAAGTAAAATGGTCTCATTGTACTATATTTGGTTATGTCAAAGGTTGGGTGGTCACAATTACTTAGTATATCATGATTATGTTTGTTTTTTGGGTGAAAATATCAGGGTTATATTGATAGCTAGGGTTTTGTACAGATATGTAAGATTATTGAGATAGAAATGTATACACTAAAAATATTTATTTTTAATAGAAGGATGTGGCACAAAGTTCAAAATAATTTTTTTTAATATTGTGACACATTTTAATTTGTAATATCTTATATCCAATAACTATGGGAAAAAGTTTATATAGAGCCGAGGCTCTTAACAATCAAATTCGAGCCTACCTCAAAAATTTCCCTAGAAGAGATTGTTTTGATGCCCAAATATCCTCTAATTCATCATCTCGATATCAAGATGCATGGACATGAGAAAAAAATAGATTTCAAGTTTTGAAAATAGTGTATTTTGTAACACACTTTTGGACCGTCAATTTTCAAGATTTTCAAGTCTTCATAGATCTATCGATCTACACTATTTTTGCAGCTTTAAACTTTATGAATAAAGATAAAAATATATTTTAAGGCTATCAAATAGATTCCAGTATTGAAACTACATTTCTCGACAGTATTTGAAGGTAGGCTCTAATTCGATTGTTTAGAGCCTAGGCTTTATACAAACCGCACCCATAGGAGGGATTGTACAAGTTAACTGTGTAGTATACAGTGAGAAGAATGGACATCCTATGCTCGTGCTGGAACATATTGTACGCTTAATCCCTAAGGCGAATGAGAGCCACTTGGAGGTGTTTCTCAATAAGATATTTTGTATCTACCCAAGAATCGCGAGCTGATTATTATAAAAAAAAAAAAAAAAAATAGATTTTTGAGTTTTTCAACACTTAGATTTGAAAATCTAAAAATTTTGATGATCTTTGTTCAATCGTGAGGTGTTATTTTCTTTAGGCACATAAAATGTATGATTTTTTTTTTTTACTTTCTTTTAGATGAGTCGCTAGAGGCTATATTCCCAAAAATTAAAAGCCTAAAAAGTACTTATGTATTTAGTTTACAGGTGAAGGAACAGATAGCATGCTCCCATAGAAACACCAAAATTTTGGCTCTGATTCTTCTGATATTTGCTAGAGTTGGAGGTGGAGCTTTCCAGCTTCTCTCCATTTCTTCCTTTCCTACCTATTGTGCAGATCTTTAGTGCTTGTTAATTTGATTATTGCATGCTCTAGCATTTTTTATTCAATAACAAGATATTTTTTTATTTTATTTTTTTACGATACTTCAATAACAAGACATTAAGAATGCTCTAGTGAGGGGTAGCATCCCGGCAGCCCGAACTGTGTCTTGGTCCGGATCCGGGTCCATGTATGGAACCCAGCTTGTTGTGTCTAGGTATAAATGACTTGGATTTGACCCAGGTCAGGTCTAGGTCTAAGTCAGGGGTAGGCGTTGACCCGGTATACATTGTGTAATATAAAACAAATTTTTTATTTTTATTTTTAATTTCTAGACCTAGGCTACGCCATTTACTTGCAAGTGCCCCAAAAGAAAAGTGGAATAGCAATTAACTAGAATGCACAGAAAGATGATTGAAAACAACTCAATTCTTTTTTAACAGGAAAACATTCTTAACAAAAGGATACATAAATAGAAAATACTTCTCAAATAGAAAGTTTCGTGATCATCTTCTTTTAAAGTAGACACCATGGTAATTGAGACCAGATCAAACTGTCGGTCTGACTATTCAGATCACCCACAAATACCTTGGTCTATCTCGTCCAGAGTAAACAATGATTTTGGTTAAATATCGGTTAAAATCAATATTTGATTAATTCTGATCGGTTTAACCAACCACTTTTGATTGATTCAGTGGAAACAAAGTAGGCAACTTTTTTTCTAATATATTGCATATTTTAAACTATTATTTATTTTTTTACATATTTTAAAAATTCAATCAAACCGATTCGATTGACAAACTAACCGATATAGATTGGTTTATTCGGTAGCTGGTCCGATCGTGATAGCACTAGTAGACATCTCCTCTCCTCGATATAAGAAGAGGAAGAAGTTTCTTTCGAATGAGGTCATCTCACTACTAAGAGTCAATGATTTGATTTTCAACATTTCAAAATTTTCCATGAGTAGGGATAACACAAAGCACCATATTAGTCATTAAGTATTTAGTTGTATCCACCTATGCTCTATTAGGAGGCAATCTTTAATGGCTTTTAGTTTCCTGAGTGCACGTAGCATGTATATACTCCCTTGGGAAAAATGTGAAATTTGGAAATCTACTTTCTAATAACCAAATGTTTAAAGAAAAAGAGGAATTGGATTTTGAGTTTCTAAACCTCTAGATCTATCCTCAAGTTAGACGGTCTCCATTCAATTTTTAGGCTTTATTTCTTGAGGTACAGACAAAGTACATACAAAAATTTCTCTTTGAGGTTGGTTGCTAGGATAAGGATGTTACATCCAAAATTTTGGGTCCTAAAAAAAATGGTATAAAGGGTTTTGTGAAGGAATAAATGAACAATATGCTCCAGCAGGAGCATAGAATCTCTTGGCTTATTGCTTACATTCTCTCCGGTGTGAACGGCCAGCATCGAATCCTCAAAAAGCAATTTGCAAAGCCTTCAATATTTTAGTGTTAGTATTGTGCCAAAATCACTAATAATGAGCTGATGTTCCATTCTCTTCACAAAGGGGGATTTCCTACTTAACATTACATAGAAAGACAATCTTTTTAATATAAGTCATCTACTCATCTTGTTCCAAACCTTGGTTCTCACAGCAAAAGGCTCCCATAAAAAGATACAGTGTTATATATAAAGTTGAAGAAATAATGTCATTATCATCGGACTGGAACCGGTGAAAGTTTTGGTGCCACCAAAAACTTGATTCGGTTGAATTAGAACAAGTTAAAATTGGTCCATTGGGACAGCCAAAACTAATCAAATATCGATTTTTATATGTTTTCAACCGACTTAAATTTTTAATTTGGATTAAACTGGCTAAAGTACACCAACATGTCCGTTCTAAACCGGATAAGTACACTTTATATGAGATGAAATTACATGGAGATGCAGGAAAAAGTCTTATCACAGTTACTCTTATAGGATCATTCGGAAACGACCGACAACTCTTCATAACGAGTTTCTATTCTAACGGTGAATTATTAGTGATAACAGGTGCCGCCATACTCAAGCAACTCATGTGCGAAGTATGACCAACTAATGAATAGAACATACCTAGAGAAGATGGTCCCACAGTCGCACGTGTACTCCTTGGTCCCACAAACCTTAGAGTGGGCCTTCCAATCAGATTGCACCGCGTATTTTTTCGAACACTTGTCGCATTTCCACTTCTTCTCTCCATGCTTCCTACTAAAATGCTTTTTAATGCCTGTGAGATCACCAAGAGCTCTACTAGGATCGTGGTGCAGGCACGTGATTTCGGGGCACACGTACACTTTGTTCCTGGCCTCTGTTGTTGCCCTCTGCTTGAGCTTCCATGGAAGGTTGTGACCTCTTCTGTGGAGCTGAAGGTTTTGATCTCTTTGGAAACCCTTGTTGCAGACCTCACACACAAACCTGTTTGTGGCCATTAGGGTCCTTGGTGACAAGGCGATCACCTCAGCGGTGGGGTCTGCAAACATGTCGTGTTGTTATAAGCGGATTAGTTTGCAAAGGCAAATACATAAAATAATTAAGGGTATTTTGGTAATTCTGATGGCGCAGTATGAAAACCTTTTTATTATAGAGATTGTATGCTATGCTCATTTTTTAGGGGAAATATGCATCAAACATGCCTATGAGGATCTCCATCATCTATTAAGAACTTGCTTAAGGAATGGATGGTGGAGATCCTAGGTTTGTATGTGTACGTTGCTCAAAATAATGGCACACCCTCCTATTCGATATGTTTTAGATCTTAGCGGTTTCTACAACTCTTTTGACTTATGTAATGCACGATTATTTGTTGGATTTATTTTAAGGGAAAGTATACAACAAGATCGTTCACCTTTAATACAAGAGGGTAAAATCATCCTTTATCTTCAGATGCTAAATTAGTTGGATGGAGGGTAATCATTTGATTGTGCTTCAAATCCCAAATACTTTTTTCTGATCTATGAAGCGAAAGCACTCACTAACATCCGACAAATAGAGGTGGTTATGACTTTTTTGTATCAAAGATAAATAATTTTATAATTAATAATTCTTTGTAGCTAAATACCTTACATATATGCCAGCCCATAATGTGAAATTCTAAAATTAACACATATTCCAATGGTAAATAGTAGGAAAATGAAATCACATCGAATTGAATTGCTTTCTCTTACGTAGGACACAAACGCTCACCCTTTATAACCTCACATCTCTCGATCACGGTTTATCTCTCTCTCTCTCTTCCGGAGCCCATGTCACCAGGGCTAACTTAGGCAAGTTCCAAGTTGGATCAGCGATTTTTTAACATACAAAATAGGATTTTAGGAGCTAAGTGAGCGCGATTTCCAAGTTTTAATCCCAAAAATGAAAGGCTTCCAACCTGAGTGTGCGTGCGTGTGCGCGTGCATGGGCGTGAGGAGTAAGATTTGGGCCCTATTTGTTATGGGCGTGAGGAGTAAGATTTGGGGCCTATTTGTTAAGGGGTTGAAGATCAACGCACTACGTCTCAAGTTCAAATCCTAATGCTAATAGAGAGAGAGAGTGTGTGTTGTCTCACAAATCCAACGAAGACTGACAAACATAATAAAAAAGGGGTAGGACTAATTCAAAAGGAGAAAAATAAAGTTGAAGGGGTTAACAAGATGAAAAAAAGGGCATCATGTATACTTGCCTGGATTCCCAGGAGGATTCCTCTTTTTCTTTCCCACACTGTTACTATTGCCATCACTGTTAGAGAGCAGAGCGTTGAGCTCTCCACCACCGTTGCTAGAGCAATAGCTCCCCTCCCCACCACTTCCATTCGACATAACTCTCTCTCTCTCTCTGTCTCTCTAAAATCCAAGAGAGCACCTCTCTCTCTCTAAAAACCAACAGAGAACCTCTCTCTCTCTTTAAAGACCAACAGAGCACCTCTCTCTAAAATCCAAGAGAGCACCTCTCTCTCTCTCTAAAAACCAAGAGAGAACCTCTCTCTCTCTTTAAAGACCAACAGAGCACCTCTCTCTCTCACACAATATTTTGACTCTAATGTTGGGGACATAGGAGCAAGCTCATATAATCCCAGGGCAACAGAGTATGGAACGCAGACAAAAACCAAGTAAAAATTCCATCCCGACTTATGTAAAACACTGCATATACCCTATCAATACCGTATTCTATATTACATTCCACACCAAATACTAGCTAAACCCAGAAAGCTAAAGAGTTTAGGTAAAAGAATTTGGGAGGTAGACATCAAAGTGTTCGAATGTTTGTCATCTTCCTGGTCGTCCCTCTTTCTCTACATTTTTTTTTAATGTCTCTCTCTACATTTCTCTCTCTCATCAAAGTATTCTACTGCTTGTCATCTTCCTGGTCGTCCCTCTCTCTCTACATTTTTTTAAATTTCTCTCTCTACATTTCTCTCTCTCTCTGACTGGTTGAGTTTATTATAATATATAGTAACAGGTCTTGCAGAATTAACAGTTTAAGGCAAATTACCAGAAGGGAACCTGATGATATCTATGTTTAAAAAAAATAATTACTACCATGAATCACTTTCAGAGAAATTTAATAGAATGGATTTTCAGAGCATACCTTTAAATTTTGGATAAAAATAAAATAAAAACTTTTAACGATGATCCCTAAGAAAGGAACGAATTTGATGAGATGGGAGATTTCTTCCTAGGGGAAACGACAAGTTACAAAATGACTGCCCAAGTAGTGACAACCATTTCGAAACAAAAGGTGAAGACCAAAATGAGATCCATGGAGAGAGAGAAAGAGAGAGGATCAATTCTGCAGGCATGAGTGAGAGAGAGATGACCCCTTTTGCAGGCAAGAGAGAGAGAGAGAGATGATCCCCTGTGCAGGCCAATATTCAATCTTGGCGCCTAGTCATTATCTAACCCCACGGCGAGATTGTATAGAATTATTTTATGGTAGTGGTTTGTATAAAGTTGCAACCTTGAATAATCAAATTAAGGCGCACCTCCAAATTTTATCATAAGATTTAATTTCGATGTCAGAAATTCATAGGATGGCATGAGAATCTATTTTCATCTTTATTTATAAATTTTAAACTCCAAAACAGTTCAAATCAAGTAGATCTATAAACACATGAAAATTTAAAAATTGACAATCAAAATAATGAGTCAAAAGATGTACTCTTTTTGGGACTCGAAATCTTTTTTTTTTTTTTCATATTCATATATCTCGATGTCGAGATGATCAATTAAAGGGTTTTTCAACATCAAAATAGCTTTTTCCGGAGGTGCACCTTAATTCTACATTTTAAGGTTGCAACCTTGTATAAATTTTTTCCTGTTTTATTGTTCTCATGAATGAACTCCTAGGAAAATAAATAGCACATATGCAACTGCAAATGGACACAAAATAATTAAATCTATTTCCCCCCAAATGTGCGTGAAATAATAAAAAAATTGGAATAAATCCCTGAATCGATTGACTTCATTGTGAGGGGAATAAATGAGTGAATTTCAATAACAAAAGAACATACAACAATAAGTTGCTGCTTACAAGAAAAGTGAACTGCAAACCTCTATCCACCTATGTGCATGCGTGTGAGATGTCATCTCTAATGTTTGAATCCAAGCTACGCCACGCAACACATGCATGGGCTTTTTTAGATCGATAGATACGTAGATGAGTTAATGGTGATTATGCAAGATAAGCTGAGCTGTTAATGGTGATTATGCATGGGCGCACACACACTCTTAGGCTAGGCTATCTTGGCCTGGGCTACTGCGTTTGCCCCAAATACTACTTTCTTTCCCAAACAAGCAAAGCAAGATCAACATTTTAAAATTGTTCTGTTTATCTCCACAAGGCTGTTAGTAACACACACACTTCTCCGTGAACATATAACCATTAATCTTGATTTTACCAGAAATGTTCTTGGAGACCATGTAAACACATCCTACAAAATTCACGTTAAAACCGGCGGTGGCAAGCACCAAAACACACAGGCCTCACTTGAATGAAAAGATGAGATGAACAATCCTATGGCTCAGGCTACATCCTCAAAACTACTAGAGACTGCCACTCAGGAAAATTAATTCTTCTCTTACAACTACCCTAAGAAAGTTCCAACAAATACAATACCAAACTCAAACCTGAAGTCCAATACTCCAAAGGCCAAACTACCACTAGTGTTGTTCTCCATCAATTCAAAAACCAAACATTTCACCCATATAAAAAACCCCAAACACTAAACCTGTCCTCCTTCAAATGCGAAGGACCCAAACGCACCACCTCCATTGATAATGTTCACTTCATGTTTGGATAACATTTACTTTTATCTGGAATGAATATCTTGTCTAAAGCTAATTCACTCTCGATAATATTATTTTATTGGCTGTTAGGCAGGTATTTTTTATTATGCACAATATTATTTAGTTATGCAACTTTTTCGGTGATTTCCAGCTACGTTTAGATATTTCTAGCCAAAAACATGTGATTTTCAATAATTACTTTCAATGAAATAAAAACAGGTTTCCAAGAAGATAAACTTATGTAAAACCGACTTTTAAGTTTATCTCAGATAACTTTATGATAGACCCCGCCAAACAACATATAATTCATTATCAAGAACAATTTTATCAAAACGGAGAATTATCATTGATAACAAATACATCGAAACGCGCCCTAACTATTATCCTATGCGACAATGTACCTTAGCATCATTTTGTCTCCAGTCCTCCACGAAATCCCATTTCAAAACCTTCGCAACTTCCATCGAAAGAAGACAATGCTCCTCTGCTTCTCCTTCACCTCAACTCCAGCCTCACTGCCTTTCTTTTCATAAGAATCAGCCATGAAAAGAGCTAAAAACCTTGAAAAGCCTGATTTCAATCTTAAGCTCTCTTATCACCATCACTGTCCCAGCACGAGTCTCAGAGATTGGGAAGAGTCTCTAATTTAAGTATAATGGAGATTGCAGATTTAATAGAGGTTTTGCACCAAAGATTTGTCATAAGCAAGATGCCTATAATGATCTTTATGATGGCTAGACTTGGAACAAGCATGGTACATTGCTATCAAACAAGGTTGGAGAGTTTTTCTGGATAGCCAAATTTTTTTGTAGAAGCTACTTTTGGTGATCCGGATTTTAGAACTTTATCCGAAAACTTAATGCTAGTACACTGCTATCAAACAAGGTTGGAGAGTTTTCCTGGATTGAGATAATATTGGATTGAGTTATACCCTAAAGTATTAGGATACTATGGGGTTATCAAACAGGTCAAGCTGTGTTTTATAACCCCGTGATAACCTTTAATTTCAGGATATTACTAACTCAATTTTATCTTGATCCTGAGTGTTTCCAGCCCTGGTAGATAGCAAAAAGAACTAGCCTCTAGAATTCGAATAAGGGTCAGCCTAAGTTTTACGCAGTCAGGAAAAAAACTGACTTGTGAGGTTAGCTTTTTTACATCTTGCAAACTATTGGGATTTAGTTTTCCAACCCTCCCTCCTGTTCTTTGTCACGAAAATTGTCGGGATTTAGTTTTCTAACCCTCCCTCCCTTATTTCCCTTCTTCGGTCCCTCCCTCCCACTCTATCCATTATTTCCTTTCTTCTGCTCATCTTCTCCTCCTATGTTTCTCTTTCCCTCTCTATTTATGGACACATCATCGCTTAATATCCAGGTGAGCAAATCTGTATACCATGGGAGCAAAACCTTACATCTACTTCTCTCTGTATATATCCAAACTTGAGAGGTTTCATACCCCTTTCTTTCTCCACTCTCCCCCACATAGCATCAGCAACACAGAAAATTACAATTTGCACTGGGTATACAGGGGAGAGTGGTAAGTGCAATCCACAAGGTGAATGCTCCAAAGCCAAAAAATAGAAAAAGCGAAAC